TTAAGACCTTTTGTTTTAATGATCATTTGAAGTTTTGGCAGCAGCACTGAAAAAGAACTCATGACCGTTTTTCATACTTATAACTTATATTCGTACATTTGACACCTGGCATGTAATTATGATGGTTGCATATGATCAGAAGTTTTGTGAACTTCTAAGAAGCAAAGTCAATGGAGAAGCCAGATTCACTTAACAACCATGTTGCTAAGTTAACCACCGTGATGATTCACTTAAGAACTGTGGCAAGACAGATCGTCTTGCTTAGCAATGGAAATTTTAGGTTCCATTGTGGTCATAAGTTGAGGACTACAATATTAGCCTCAACTGGAAGCATTTACTATTCCACTAGGTTTCTCTTTTACTTTGAACAAATAACTGCTGTATCATATTGCAAAATACTTATTAAGGAAAACTCCTCTCACATTTAAAATCACTTTCCATTAACCTAAGAGGGAAGATAGAGGGGAGGCACTTAGAAAACAAATGTAATGGTTCTTTTAGTTATGTCATACCTTAATATAATTTTAACTCTAGCCTTTGACAGAAAAAATGGATGTGCATTAGAATCAAATGATTCGCATCCAAATGGAAAGACAACTTTTTCAGATGTAAAATTTCCCTGTAGGAAAATTCCTCAGTAATGAGTGGTTGTACAATTGTTACATTTCTTCACTTGAAATGCTTATGTCTTAACTAATTAAGGCTTGATCTAGTACAGTTTGTATTGTGCAAGGGAAAATGCCCTGCAAGAAATAATGCCATTCTTCTGGGTTTTTTCTTTTTTGAATTAAGTTTATAACTTAATTGGTTTTGAATTTTAAAATCAGCCTGATATTGTAGTTGAAATACTGTTTGTTTTAAAAAAAAAAAAACAGAAGCAAACTCTATATAGGTACTTTTCCTGTATACACATAGCTGAGTTTCAACCCATCAACCTTTCCGAGTTAAAGTAATGATTTTATGGATGACTAGCCTGTTGACATACAGTTATTCTGCATACGGATAAACCAGAATTTCAATGTGACAATTCTATGAGGATTACTGTTAGTCAAAACGTAGGGTAGATCAGCACTTACAGCAGGGACAGCACCCATTATGCAAAACAATTTGTTTTAACTTTACATTCTTATAGCTACTTTTCTTTGTTTAAAACTCTCATAATCTTCAGATAACATAAGAGTGCAAGCTGGAGATACTGGTAACATCTAAAAAGGACCAGTCTGGGAAAGATTTCTGTAAATCTGTATAATTTCTACAGTCTCCCTGTTTTGCTTCTGGCTTTGTTGCTGTTTTTGTGGAGGTGACTGGATAATGATTCTAGAACTTCCATACAGCTAAATCGCTTTATACAGCCGTAAAAACATTGTATATGAACCAAGCTTCCATGCAGATTAAAGAATTATTTTTAATAACCTTGAGCAGATTTATTCAGAAATAGACTGCAAAGAACTTGAGTGGACTTATTCTTCGAGTGTGTCCGAGGTTTCTCACTGATTCTGTGTAACTTAACGCTGCAATGTTGTGGTACAATTTTGAATTCAGTGGTGTTTGGAGCATCCTTTGCTAAGGTCACTAGTACTCTGCTTGCTTTTCAAAGCCCTTAATCGTTTTTTGTTTTTATCATTGTAATAGTTTTTAGATGCAAATGACCCCTCCAGAATTCGACCTTGGAGATGATGGTAGAGATGCTTCCAATCTTTTCCACGTATATTCCCCACATGCTCTATCCTCAAAACATCTTAAAAGCATTCCAGAGTTTGTGAGAAGGTTTATCACAGCAGTTTTTAATAGCTGCTGCTACTAGCTATCTCAGAGTTGTTTGCTAGCACCAATTTCTCATTGCTGTTAGAGGCTAGTTCTAAAAAGATCATTGAAAGGTTTCCCTTCTCCAGTCCTGACTGGTAATCGACACAAGGGGGAGGTGCTGCTTTCTGAATCTCAGTCCAGGAAGCCTGTATTGTCTTGAGAGATGCGTCTGTCATCATGTGGCCAGCATGAAAATAGGAAACACAATAGTGCAGGATTATAGAGGCTAGTTCTCTAATAAAAGAGGCTGTTTTTTTTTTTTTACTGTGACAGTATGAATCATTTAAAGCATACTATTTTTATGAACACATTTTTCAGTATGATTGTTCTATCACTCAAGAACAAAAGGTAGCAGGATATGATTGTTTAAGGTACAATCCTTTATCTGTTTATTCAGAAATACTTGTATTTTTGATTGTGCAAGATTGCATCTTTAGCAACTCAAACATAACTTTTCTACTACAGTCTGATTATTCTCCTTATAGCACATTATAATCCTTCCTAGTTTTGAAGTGACGACGTTGACGATTATGAGTAAAAAGTAACAGCTAGTTTTAGGATCAGTTAAGTTATAGCGGTTAAAGTTCCAGTGGTCTTAATCTTTATCATTTGGATGATGGGTTGGACAAGTGAGAATATACAAATATATAAACTAAGAACCAGTTTAGTCTAGTAGTTTTAGGATATTGGATTAGAAATCAGGAGATTATGAGTTTATTTTTGCTTTAGGCATAGGAGCCAGCTGGGTGCTTTGCGGCCAATCTCTCCCAGGCCTAGGAAAATGTTATTGACTGTTAAAGACGTTCCCAAGAAAACTGGAGGGATTTAGGCCTATAATTACTAGGAATCAGAGGTGATTTGATGGACCATAGCAATATAGGTTACGTCTATTTTTCCCCCCGTATTACATATTAAGCACAATGCTCTGCTACTTTTTAAAAACAAACAAACATCAATTTATGTTTTAAAAGAAAGCAGCTAATTATTAATCTATAAATGTGAAGGATTAATCACTTGCTCAGAATTTATCGACATACTTGTATGTTTGTTTGTTTACTTCACATAATCTATCTGCTATATCCCAGTCAAATTCCTATTTGCTGTGCTACTTTAAGTACATAGAGGGTTTCTCAACTCATATCTGTTTTTTTTACATAAATAAGAAGGCTCAAACTATTTTATTCAACTTACAATGGTCAGGCTGCCTATTTAGCTTCAGGTTTTTGAAGAGCAATCTAGTTTGATAGGTTCCTATTTTCAGTAGTGACTTTGCATGCATTTAAATTGTAAAGGCTTAGAAGAAGTTGAAAGCAGCTTGAATTCCACTTGGCAATACTCCCCATTCCACATCTCATTTGGAAAACCTAAATCTCTGCTGTATAGAAACATTAATATGTAATGAGATGGCCCCAAGTTGCTATGATGGGAGGTGTGTGTGTGCACGCGTGTGTGTGTGCAAAAGTTATGGATGCAAGTATAGTGTTTCCAAGTGAAGCATTTTGGAACAAAGTGACTTCAGAAAAAAAATACAAAGAGTAGATAACTTCATCAGGGATACTGATAAGTTTCAAAGGACTTTAATTTTGCCTGAATTGTGTCTACTCTTTTTAATATGTTCATTTATTTGATTCACGGTATATTTCATCTTTCTGCTGAAGCCATGAACTTAATTAAAATGCAGGATAGAAAATACAATTTAAAATATAAAATTAACATTAAGTTGTAGAGTTGCACTAAGTATTTTAAATCAGCGGTCGCTAACCGGTGGGCCGCAGCCCACTGGTGGGCCGTGAGAAAATTTTGCTGGGCCGCAGAGAAATCTCACCCCCAGAGCACCCCCCCCAAAGCAATCCAGGCTGTGCAGAAACACAAGGCTGCTCAGCCCACATGGCCCACGGGAACCCTTCCCGCCCACTCAGTTCTTACCTGGCAAACTTGTCTGCTAAGTTGCTATTTTTCCTTTTTCTGACCATCATCTGTTCTGCTGTGCCGGGAGATTTAGATTGGCTAGGAAGCAGGAAATGGTTGTATTTCTTGCTTTCTAGCTAAGAAACAGCCGAACCTCCCTTAGGACTGAAGGTTTGCTTGCAAGCAAATTCAGTGCAGACTCACAGCAAGAAAATTTGAGAGACTGAGCTAGCCGATGGCAGATAGATAGATCACTGAATGATTCTGTGAGCAACTTAATCTGCCTGCTTTGCCTGATTTTGGATAAAAGTTGCTTTATTAATCAAAATTTCAATATTTACATACACATGGTGTGTTGTGAGTTAATGTTGTGAGTTTGCTTGCAAGCAAATTTTATGTGACAGACTGAGCTAGCAAATGGCAGATAGATAGATTTCTGAATGAATCTGTGATTCTGTGAGCAACTCAATTTGCCTGCCTGCTTTGCCTGGTTTTGGGTAAAAGTTGCTCTTTTTTATAAAAAATTCAATATTTATATAAATATTTGTAATATTTACATACAAGCCACGCCCAGCCAGTCACATGACCACTAAGCCACACCCACAAATTAGGCCACGCCCACAGAACCAGTTAGTGGTCCCTGGGGTGTAAAATTATGAGTTTGTAGTCCCTGAGGTCCAAAAGGTTGGCTACTTGACTACTTGATATAATAGACGTAGCCTAGATCTTCTCTAAGGGCAGAGTGAATGGGGTTTAAATTCAGTTCATGAGGGAATATATTCCCCAGCTTGGAAGTAATAAATTGAAGTTCCTCTGTTGGGTGCCATTTAAATGAATCTCTCTGACAGGATAGGCTTCTTCAAAAAGGCCTCTTCTGCAGCTCTTATCCTTTGGTCACCATGGAGAATTATTTACAGTTCCAATTAGATGAAGTGATACAGTTTTCTGATTTCCCTTTTAGCATTTTTCAGTATGGAGAACCATGATAAATCTTCTGTACTGTCTGGGAGTTTTGGACCTTGGGACCAAGACTCTGCAATGATTTTGGTTGAATTCTTTAAAAGATTCACTTGGATTTTGAATGAATTATCTCAGGCTTTTCTTACTTATTTATAGGAGAAAAAAATCAAGACTCAACAGGAACATTTAATAATAATTTTGCTAATATTTCAAAGTAGAGTGAATTCTGCAGATAGAACCACTAGATGTACTTGATATAATATGCATGTCGCACAGAATACAAGAACCAGTAGACCTAATACGATTTAATGGTAATCTTTTAACAGGGTTTTAGAGCAAGTCCACGCCATGTTAGAAGGCGTGTAGTCCCTCGCCTTGAAGAAATACAGCCCCTGGTAGAAGCACGTCAAGTGAGTGAACAAGAAACATCAGTTAAGAAGAGAAAAATCAAGAAAAGTAGCAGGGTCCAGCCAGAATTCTACCACTCTGTTCAAGTCACACCTACTCGAAAGCCAGTAAGTAATGTTTTTCAATCTCTCAGTTCTATGAATTCTGGCAGCCTTTTCCCAACTGTGTTTTTCTTGATGTATTAATCTTTAGTCTGCAGAATTCCCAGCCACCGTGGGCTTTGGTAGATGCAATCTCCATTGTTGTGCACCAAATTGGAAAACATTGATTTATAAAATCAAACATATTATAACGGACATCTGCATTTGATGACAAGTTTAAGCAATAGAAGATCAGTTAAGAGTCAATAGTTTACTTTGTCACTTCTAAATGGAACCTACAAGCTCTCTACATCATTACTTTGAAGTGCACACTGCTTTGACCTTCATATGCCAACCTGGATCCTCCTCCTTGCCATAGTACTGTCCTCCTTATTTATCTGCCTCAAACCCACTGCCTGTTTATGGCTTGTTTCCGTGGGAGTTCAATACTATTAAGGAACCTGGCAGATACCAAAACAACTACGGAAAGATTGTGATACAGAGCTAGCATTTTAGCAACCAGGCTTCCTATAAAACAGGCCTATCAAACTCGAGGCCCAGATGCATCATGCAACATGGCCATGCCCACGCCTGGTTTAGCGAAGGGGAGAAAAGTTGCAATATGTCACATGACAACACTATGATGACACGAGTTTGACACCCCAGCTATAGAAGGCTGCACTGCTCCAAGAACACGGTCCCAGGGTTTACTACTAAGAGGAAACTTCTAATGTTGAAGACATATTATATGCTGCCACTGTGACAAAATAGTCAGTCACAAAATATCAGTATACTCGAAAGCAAACTGGCGGGGTGCTTCTCCAATGCCCTGCTTGAGAGGTCCTGAAACACAGGTAGATAGTCCTTGACTTACAATCACAATTGAGCCCAAATTTTTCATTGCTAAGCAAGACCGTTGTTAAGTGAATTTGGTCCCATTTTATGACCTTTCTTGCCACAGTTGTGGCAAGTTGTTAAGTGAATCACTGCAGTTAAGTTGGTAACACACTTAAGTGAATCTGATTTATTTGCTTGTTGGAAGGTCGCAAAAGGTGATTACTCTAGGACACTGCAACCTTCATCAATTCATTCCTGTTACCAAAGGTCTGATTTTTGATCATGTGACCGTGGGGATGTTGCAAAGGTCATAAGCGTGAAAAATGGTCACTCACTTTTTTCAGTGCCATTTTAACTTTGAACGGTCACTAAATGAATGGTTGTAAGTCGAGGACTTCCTGTACCTCATGTTCCTTCTGCTCTCTTTTTCTTGTATGAACAGAGCATTGGCTAGAGGTTCCTATTACTTTTCTTTTCAAAGTAAAATCGCAGAGAGCAAGGAGATTTCCAGGGAATAAAGATTATGGCATTTGTCAGTTTGTTTTGTCCCATTTAATTAACAATTTTTTTTTTGAAAAATTAAAATAAGATCGAGCCTATAGGCATCTATAAGTGCCAAGTCAAGAACCCCGGCATTTATGTGTTCATTAGGAAACAGCAGAATGAGAGATTAGGCCTTTGCACCTAGGAAACATTTCAGACTCCTGACGCTTAGGAATTTTAAGATCCAGGAAGGCTTCCTCCACATGGACCTGTTTTCTGCCATCATTGCCATCCTCTGCATCATCTTGCTTCAATATGTATGCAGTGCCTTACAGGTAGTGCTACTCCAGCCCATTCTATCACATTTTGCCAGCCTTTGGACACCTCCATTTTTATTACTGAACATAAAATGTATGATGATGCCAAGCAAGAAAAGACTACGCCAAAGATAATGAGTAGCAGAAAAGTTTCAGATTTCAGAATATACTTCGTGTGCAAGACTAAGATTTAGGTTGCTGCACAAGAGAATGTAGCATCATACCAGAGTATGTAGCATTTTCACTGAAAATCATTCAGAAAACTAAAGACGTGAATACCATTACTCCTGGCTTTGAATATTTGGAGAAAAAGTACAATTTGCAATATAGTATGTTCAAGACAAATTCATTGTGTATCTAATCACACTTGGCCAATAAAGAATTCATTCATTCTTTCATTGCTAGAGAGACAGAGATTCACATTCTGGATATCCTTTTATTCTTTTCCTATCAATCAAAGGAACAGTCTTCACCAGTTCACACAGGGGCCACTTGTTAACAGGCTGAGAACCTCTCGCCTTATCAGGTTGGGAAATAAAATGGGTACTAAGAGCTGAAAATAATCCAATTGCTGAGATTTCTGTGTCCTATCCACTTTTCCTTTTCAACAAATCTTGTTTAAAAAGGCTCTGGGAGAAGTTTGGTTATGGATTGCCAAGACTTTGACAGAATAAAATATCTGAAAATACAGAAATAAGGTCTTCTCTTATTTTAATGTTTTCCCTTCAGCTATTTGGAAAACAGAATCCCAAAAAATTCCAGTATTGCAGAGGCAATGCACGTGTAGATCAAGCATGACTCAATGCATGAAGTATGTTTTTTCCACCTTGTATCTTTATTCTGATTTAAGATAACACTGCTCCAGCCATTAAAAAGAAAGCTTCCTTGTTATATTGAATAATTTTATCACAGCTACCTTATAGCTGCCAGAAATCATAGCCATCTGTGCTGTGACAAAATTTGGCTGTTTAGATGCCATGAGAAGATCACTGCCCATTAATGAAAGTGACAGACTGCAGAGATAGTCTTGTTTACATATGAAAATTCTGGAATGTTTTATTGTGCATTATGCTTTGTTTATTACATTGTAATAATGTTTTGATTTAGATATACAAGAATAAAGTTCAGTAACATTTGAAATGCCTGCACATGTCTAGTAGTAATTACTGGACACAATAAAAATATGTTGCATCGTATCAAAAGCCTCTGAAAGAAAAAGGGAATGAGTAGAACAGGGGTGTCAAACTCGTGTTGTTACGGCAGCATCACGTGACATATCGGGACTTTTCTCCCCTTTGTGAAATTGGACATGGGCGTGGCCAGCATATGACGCATCTGGCCCATGGGCCGAAAGTTTGATAGACCTGGTCTAGAATATAGTGTGGTAAATCAAAGCTAGATTAAGTGAATGAGGTGTGCCCATTCCTGTTTTTCAAGGGTAAGAGGGTCAGTAAGTATCCTTCCCTCCCGCACAAAGCCATATTTCAATTCAAGTTATGCTTGGAGAAAGATTCTACTGGTAGTCCTTGAGTTATGATCATAATCAGGACTGGAATATTTGTTGATAAGCAAAGTCATGCCCAATTTTACAACTATTTTGCTATGGCTATTAAGTGAATCATGCAGTCATTAAGCAAATCAGGCTTCCCCATCAACTTTGCTTGTTGGAGGCCCCCTGGAAGATGGCAAATAGCAACTATGTTACCCTGGGATGCTACAGCTGCTGTAAATAGCATGCCGATTGCCCAATAGCCAAATTTTTATTACGTGACTGCAAGAGTCATAAGTGCAAAAACCAATTGTAAGTTACTTTTTAAGGCATCATTGTAACTTTGAACAGTCATTAAGTTATCATAGGTGAAAGGCTACCTGTATCGTAGTTTGTTGAAAGTTATGAGTCTTCTCTTGAACAGGAAAAAAGTGGTTTTTAAAAATAAACCATAGATGTTTTCTCACAGTCAAAAGAGTAGATTTTTTTAGGTCAGCAGATTGAATAGAAAAGATTGAGATCCAGTCTCTAATAACGCTTAATAGATATGAGAAAAGCTGTTGTCTGAAACTAGGGAGAGAAAGCCAGTTTTCCCAAATTACATGTTTTCTAGATATGATGGACTATAGCATCCATAATGCTCAAGATAGTGTGAGAATTTTAGCCTAGGCACAGGAGGTTTGGGAAGGCTGGCAATGAACTAAGATAGAGCAATGATTCTAAGATACGGTCCTGTCTGACTAGCAAATCTTCTTGGTTGTAAAAGCAACAGAATATAAACTCAGAATAATCTAACTGCCTGCTGTTCTTCATAACATCCTCTTATAGAAGCCATTGTTTTGTAAATGGAAAAAGTGTATGAAGCTCAGCCACATATGTTTCCTCTTCCTGCATTTCTATTTGAAGGAATTGGTGAATATGTATATGTGCACTCTTGTTCAAATGAGGAAAAGGAGCATTTTATCTTTGTCACAAACATTAGCAATTATGTATATAAATGATAAAACTGATGTGAAAGCTACATAGGTCCTCTTTGCTGAATGTTTTTTTCTTTAGTCATAATCTTTAAAACTAAATAGGAATGGACCTGGTAAATTTCCATGGGAGATCACAGAGAATCAAATGACGTATACTAGGGTGAAAGGTAACAACAACAAAAATATTGCAGAAGGCTGGCCAAGACAATTACTGACTTCTGCTAGTCAACAGTATTCTGAACTTTAGGTCCAATCCATAGACCATCTACTGTATTTGTTACTCCAAGTGAAATAAAAATTAAGAATTATTTCTTCTATCTTAAAAGTTGGCTTTGAAATCTGTTTTTGTTTTGGCTCCTAGTACTGCTTTTATATTCAGAATAAGATGTTGTAAAGTTATGAATCATTGTTCTGTTATGTGCTATTTGATAGGCATACTTAAGTGCTAGGGTTACTTACAATGTACATAAAAGAGTATGTGGAAGCCAGCCTAGCCTCACTGATCTCAAGTGTAGCAACTTCTTCACTGGATTACTGCAACGGAATGCATCAGGAGCTGCCTTTCAGGATAGTCTAAATGTTGGAGCTGATGCAAACAGCTCCTGCTGAATTGTTAAATACAGCAGCTAACTGAACCTCACCGCACAGGAACTGTAAGTGCTACATTTTCTGCCTTTAGCTATTAGACTTTGACTTAGGACTCAACTGTAATTGCTTCTTTTAATGCCATCCAAGTGGTGTCCTTCTCAGGGTCCCACTAGTTGGTTTGGCTCATGTGATAATCAGGAGCAGGAGCTGCTCAGTGGCAGCACCCCAACTATAGTCTAAAACAGGGGTGTCAAACTGGCCAGGTGCATTACATGCAGGCCACGCCCCTCCCAGCTCCTCAAAGGCAAAAAATGTCACGTGATGCCACAAGACACAATTGAGTTTGACACCCGTGGTCTAAAGTCATTGTTGTTTTCACATAATCAAAGTGACTTAATTTACACAGTATTTTTTCTGTGCCCCAAATCTCCCAACCCAAATTGATTGGTTTAATGTGATGGGTACACCAGATTGTTGAGTTAAATAGCCATTAATTCATCCCTTTATTTGTTTTTAAATGTATTTGAAGTGTTGGCTTTCATGTTTGGTAATAATTCCAATTAAAATTTTTTTTCCAGCCAAACCAATATGTTCATATTAATGGAAAAATAACTAGGTCAGATGCATCCAATAGGGGGAAGTAGTGCACAACTATTGAACAGGATATTAGTAGGATTCAGCTGCTTTTCTTTGAGATGTTATTTATTTTAATATATTGGGTTTGTCTAAAAGACTAAAAATAAATCCTGTCGTGCGATCATCAAAGCTGTGATATTTTTTATCTCTCAGCTCAAAGCATAGATAACAGTATTATGATTAGGGACAGGAAATGAAAAATTCATATGAGAATCGGAAATAGAATCAGAGCTGATTTTTAAAGTTCTAAAGAAAAAATATAAGAAAACACATTTGTAAATTAAAAATAATATCTATCTTCACACATTTATTAACAGCAACAATGAATGTGCAGAAATAAAGAATTCTTGAAAATAAGGATGTTACTGTCTCTCAACATACTGTCTACAATATATAGTGTATTCATACAATGGTATTTCTCACTTTATTGCAAAACACTATACAGCGTGAAAGCAATCTAAAGGTATAACTTGAACAAAGTCCATGATAGACAGCAGACAAATAAAATTCCTTTTGTTTTATTCTGTAGTGCTTATAAAACTATTGCTATTGCTATTTTTATTTTTAAAAGTGTTTCCCCCTTATACACTACAAAGGCAGCTAACTGAATTAATATAAAACTATAAATAAAATAATATCATTAATCAAAAGTCTGGCCAAATTATATTAAATTGCCATTCAAAGGCCAAAAAGAAGCTCGTTTAATAAATATTTTGGGGGACCAAAATTAAGGTGCCATTAGTTGGTTCCTTGGAATTGTATACCCTGCCATTCAAATTACTGTATGAATCTTAATTGGGTCTCTCAGGTAGTCATATGGATAAAAACACCCTTTTTTACAGCAATGGATAATATTTAGTATTGATGTTTTAAAAACTAATAAGTTGAGTTCATGCAGTTTCATCCTTTGTTGAATAAATGGTACCCAGACTCTTTTTGCATCCAGGAATATCCCAAATTGTTTAATTTGAAATGAACTAAATGAACTAAAACTAAAAAGACTAAACCATCTGTAGTTTTTATATGACTCACACTTACACAGCAATAAGCTAGGAAGTAAACATAAGCAGGGTTTCCTTCAGTACATAAGATTAACATTTGTACAAAAGGTTTTGGGATTAGACTAAAAATGTATCTTTCAAGGATAAATAATAATTGGCTGGATCTTCATATCCTATTTAAGACAGAATATGGTTTGTTCTCCTTAAGCGTGATGATCAAACTCATTGTGATTTATGGTGGAGGATTATTCAGAATTTGATGGTTTGTTTACTTGAAGGCATGGTTTACAAACTTAGCATTGCCGCTGATTTACTCAAGATGATGCAAAACCCATGGTTTTTGCATTGTGCAAAAATATTAGCATATTGTATACAAATTCAGAGAAACAATTATTACATTAAATTTTCTGAATGCTTCTTGTAAATATCTGGATCCCCTGTCTATAAACTCGATATGATTTAATAAGAAATGACCATTAGGTTTTTTTCTGCCTATTTTTAGCCTTATCTTTTGATTGGTAAACTTTTCCTCATGATTCAGCACAAAGGACTGATTTTCCCGATTTAAAAGGAGCTCCTGTGTAACTCTGGAAATTAATTGTAGTCAACAATTACAAAGGCTTAAATCCAACATTTAATTTGAATCTCAGAAAATCACATGTCTCTTCAACATAATGCAGGAAAAAAGTGGAATGATGCTTCTGAGATCTAAGGTCATGAATGGGTTAAGCCTTGTAACTTTCATTCTTTTCTTAGAAAACAAATGACTTGTTTCTTCTTTAAATAATTACCAAACTAGCAGATAATCTCACTGTGATAGCAGTGTGTGGCAACAAAAGCTATTCACCATCTCATAATCTAATAAGGCTTAGGTATGATTGCTACATAAGGAATATAAAACCAGATTGGATCTCTTATTTTTTTTTTCCATTACTGGAATATAGGATAGAAGGTAATAACCATGCAACTACTGTAATATGGTAAACATTTATTAAAAGCTTTGAAAGTATGAATTGCAAATTCCCTTCCAAAAATACAAGGCTGTATTAAAAATAATAGATATCAGTCATGATGACTGCACTAAGTTGACGAAAGAGCAAAGGAAAAAAAAGGGCAAATCTTCTAAAGGAACTGAGGAACTGGAAAGGGTTTTGAAATGATGTACATATGGTAGTGACTCCTTTTCCTTGTTAGTAATTGATGATGCTTTATGATGTCACTTGGCTCCTGATGTGGTGACAAAATGCCTGTTTTCATTGCTGTTTCATCTGGACAACAATAGTTCTGGTCAGATGATACAATCCTGCTGAGAAAGCTGCCTTAATGTGCTAGAGATGCTGTTCCAGTCAGTATGAGTTTTCTCACCAGTTGAGCCCACTCCAAAAAGCAGCTAATGGGAATTTCTCCAGAAAGGTGATCCCAAGAGGGTAGCTAGAGTGCATTTCATAATAATGAAGGGCAGGCAGGACAGCAGGCAAAGAGGCCCATGATCCGGCAAGCTTGCTGTAGGCCCATCTAAGAAATGCTGTAGGGTTCTCCAACCTTGGCAACTTTAAGCCTGGCGGACTTCAACTCCCAGAATTCCCCAGCCAGCTGGGAAGTTGAAGTCCACCAGGCTTAAAGTTGCCAAGGTTGGTGACCCCTGCTGTAGAGGGTAATCATGCTGGGAAGAAGGGATGGTGAAGCAAACAGGGTCAAAAGTCTCAATAAAAAAGAGATCTACAACCATGGCCTGCTGCGTCTCATAGGACGCAGCCCAGATGACACAGCAAAAGGCCTGGCTGTAATCTCAGACCTTGATCCATAAATGTAAACAACGTTTTCCTTTCCAGCGGGGAGGTAAAATCAAAGATCCCTCCCTATCTCCCTTCTGCGCCCCCCCTCCCCTCCCCCTCCCCCTCCCATTCATCATCATTTATTGCAAGCCGTCCCAGGAAACGGCAGGGCTGAAAGGCTCTTCCAAGCCGGGAGCGCCTTCCTCTCCCCCCCCCGTTCCCGCCGCCTGCGCTGCATCCCTTGTTTACATCGCGGGGGGTGGGGTTTTCGCTTGCCCCGGGGGGGTTGGGGGGGGGGGGGGAGGGTTGGCCCCTCTCCCATTCCCCAGCCGTAAAAAAAAAAAAAGACGCGATCGTCATAAAACGGAACGGGCGGCGCGGTGTTTTCATTCCCAGCCACCTGCCTTTTTGTGCTCTTCCCGGCTGCCCGACGCGCCGCATTTCCTGCCGGCCCGGTGACCTGGGGCGTTGGGGAGCGTTTTTGGGGGAAGAAGTGAAACCCCTTCCAGAAAGGAAGGAAGGAAAGGGACTTACCAGGGCGTGGTTTCGGCAACTGCCCTGCCCCGCATCCTGGATATTGGGGGGGTGTTGGCATCCTTCCCTCCCCCGCTACTCATCCAAGAGCGAACGGCTCGTTTTTTCCTGTCGCCTGGTGGGGGAGCCAAAGGTCGCTTTGTGACCCGGAGCTGCTGCTATTGCTATTGCTTTTAAAATTTTCTCTCTTCCCGGCCCCTTTTCCCTCTGGCTTGTGATTCTTTGGGCAACTCGGGTGGATCCTTGTGTGCCGGTTGCCTCCCCACAGATGCATTTCCACTGAGCCTGTTTCTCCGCGCCGTTGCAGGCTGTGGGATTTAAGCCCAGCCCGGCAGCGTGTAAGCAACAATGGTGAGCCATTTGTCCACAGATCCTTTCAAAAAAAAAAAAAAACGGGTTAGCCTACCAAGTCAGTAGCGGTCGGGTAGGTAGTGTCCGGCTTCAGGTTTGATTTTCCTCGAGGGCGATCTAAACAGCGAAAACCGCTCGGTTCTGTAGGGGGGGAGGAAATGTACTCGCTTCCGTTGTTGCTTGTCGCTACTATGCTTACGGTTCTCGTTTTCCCTCCTCTATTCTTCTTTAGAGCTCGGGAAACGTATCTTACAGATGCTCCGTTTCCTCCTCTGCGGATTTTTCCGATGATGATGATGATTTCAGCCAAAAATCTGGCTCCCTCTCTCCGGCTCCGGGCGACACCCTACCGTGGAATCTACCTAAACACGAGAGATCCAAGAGGAAAATTCAAGGAGGGTCTGTGCTGGATCCAGCTGAGAGAGCTGTGCTCAGGATAGCCGGTAAGAGAGAAATGGGGGCAGAGGATGAGGTACGCCGAAAAGAGGTTAACTTCCATTGCACGGTGGGTTTAGTGTATTGGCGTTGGTGTATTTACACAGGGGGAGTGTAAAGTGATTGATCATTGCTTGCTTATAGTGTACTTGTATGTATTCTATGCCGAATCAGAGTTAAGTTTCATTGGAGTTCAGAGAGATTTAGCATTGTAAGATCGCTGTCCAGCGGGCTCTGCTTTTGGGGACCGGTGACTAAGCTATTTTAGCCTGCTCTTCTGTCTTCTGGGCGGATAAAGGTGTTTTGAGCTAGACGCGGAACGGCGGCAGCGTGTGCAAATGCAAGCCTTGACAATTTCGCGCAGTGCATTAGAAGTGAAGATCGCGAAAATCCTCCGATGCAACGAGCGTAGATGGCTAACGTGTGTGTGTATATACAGAAAACTTGGTTGCACCCCCCACCCCCACCCCGAAAACGCTCGTGCTATTGGTACTGTGGGAATTGCTTTCGGTTGTTAGATGGTGTGTGGGCGCGTTTGAATGGAGCTCCTCCTTCGTCCGACTGGCCTTGTGCTTGAAGGGATTTTCCATGGGTTCCGACCGCCACGTCGGACCACGGACCGCCCCCAACCAAGAATAAAAGGAAGAGGATCTGGCTGGGCGCCCCAATATCAAAGAAACCAGTTTGGAGTTATTTTTATTCGTCCTAAAAGCCAGACTCCAGAAGCTTGCTAGAGCGAGCAGCTAGACTGGATCTCCAGAAAGGGGAGCGAAGGAAGCGTTGCCCGCGGTGGTGGTCAATTATTTTTCCCAGGGAGACCTTCGAAAACGAGAGCCCGTAGCAGTCAGTCCTTCCTGAGAAACGGACCTACTTTGCAGCGTTTATAAAAAAGAGCGTGGACTTTTTCCACCCGCCTTTCTTTGCTTGCAAATTAAGCGGCGGCTTTCGCGTCTTCGGAAAGTGAAAGGGCGTGAGAAAGGGATTTTTGCTCGCTGTCCCCAGTCCCCGCTGTTCCTTGGCTCCGGGACTGCGGTCGGCAAATCACTTCCGGAACTTGCCCTGGCGGAGATGAAACAGAGGAGGAGGAGGAGGGGAAGGAGGGGACAAACTCCCAGCCTGCTATTCCGGTGACCGCCAGAGCTGGCTTGCGGTGGCCACAGCGGCGCAAGGAAGAAACCCGAGGCGTCCTCTGTTGTAGTTGATGCTCCGGGAAAATATGGGGCGCTGCAAAGTCACACCCTGTTAGGTTCTTGGGAATCGCGGGCTAGTAAATTAAGGCGGGCCCCGGGGGCGGGGATGATAACCAGGATCGCTCTCCGGAGTTCTTGTGCGCCGGAGATGATCTCTTTGATGGTGGCGTGGGTGCAACTGGGAATAGGGTCAAGGGTGGCCGGGGCGAAGGTGGATTCGGGATTATCTGATGCAACGGGGGGTAGGCGGCTTAGTTTAGGACAGGGGTCTCCAACCTTGGTCACTTTAAGCCCGGAGGACTTCAACTCCCAGCAAAGCTAGCTGGGGAATTCTGGGAGTTGAAGTCCTCCCGGCTTTAAAGTGACCAAGGTTGGAGACCCCCCCCCCCCGTCAAGGAAGCGTATGAGATGAGGAAGAGGGGGGTTTGCTCTGCAAGTAAGCGCATGCGTGGTCCTTATTGAACAAGGCCTGTTATTCTGAAACAGTGACCGGCGGTGACACCTGCAGGACTTTGGCTCCGCCTTTTGGCCTTCCGCCATTCCCGGCTCTAGCGCGGAGGTTGTTGTTGTTGTTGTCATGGCCAGCCGAAGTGGGTGGATCGGCAAAACCGATTCTCCTCCTCTCCAGACGGGGGTGGAGGTGGGGGGGGAAGGGAAGGGGGCACGCGCCGAGTTATTCCTGGCCTTGCGACGAGGTGTCCGGAGCATCCGAGAAGGGGCCCGGTGGAGGACAGGAGAGGAGGAGACGGCCGGCTCGCCGCTCAATAGAGGCGCTGTGCCCGGGTAAAACGAAAACAACCGCTCGGAAAAGACCGAGGGGAAAAAAAAAAAAGGAGCCGAAGGCAGGGAGGGCTGTGGAATAATAACGCCAGCTCCGCAGGCGAGATCTCCTCCCGCAAAGCAGAGAAAAGGGTCGGTGGAAAGTGCGTTTTGAAGTGCAAAAGTACAAAAGCCCCGTTTGACCATCCCTGGGGAGGCAGGTTTCTCTCCCTCTTCGGGAGCATTTGCAAACCGGGGGGAGGGGTTGGAAAGGAGGAACCCTTGAAGGTGGGTCTGGTATGTGAGTGACAGCTGTTTCAAAAGACGACAGGAAAAAAAAGAAGAAAACAAGTCTTGGCCAAATAAGAGAAAAAGTTGGGCTAAAGTAGCCTAATATCTAGAAACAAGTCAAGTAATAACCAGCAGTCAGCATTGGTTTGTTAAAAACAGATCATGCCAAACCAATCTTATTTCATTCTTCAACACAGTGACTAAATTAGTAGACCAGCAAAATACTGTGGACATATTTAGATTTCAGCAAGGCATTTGACAGAGTAGACCACAACCTACTTCTTAGTAAGCTAGAAAAAGTGGAATAGATAGCACCACCACTAGATGGATTCGCAACTGGCTGGCAAACCGTACTCAACTAGTAGTCCTTAATGGGTCTAAGCCTACATAGAGGGAAGTAAGCAGTGGGGTGCCACAAGGTTCCGTCTTAGGCCCAGTACTCTTCAATATCTTCATTAATGACTTAGATGAGGGAATAGAAGGGGAACTTACCAAATTTGCAGATGATACTAAGCTGGCAGGAATAGCTAACACCCAAGAAGATAGGCTCAAGATCCAGATGGATCTTGACAGACTAGAACACTGGGCCATATCTAATAAAATGAAATTCAATATGGAGAAAAGTAAAGTCCTACACTTAGGCAAGAAAAATCAAAAGTACACATATAGACGGGGTGAAACCAGGCTCAATAGCAGTAGCTGTGAAAGGGATCTTGGAGTCTTAGTGGACAACCAGCTAAATATGAGCCAGCAGTGTGCAGCCCCCGCCAAAAAAGCTAATGCAATCCTAAATTGTATTAACAGAGGGATACAGTCAAGATCAAGGGAAGTACTAATACCACTCTATAAAGCCTTAGTAAGACCACACCTAGAGTACTGCATCCAGTTGATCACATTATAAAAAAGATGTTGAGACTCTAGAAAAAGTACAGAGAAGAGCAACCAGGGTGATTAGGGGACTGGAGACTAAAACATGAAGAACTGTTACAGGAACTGGGCATGGCTAGTCTAGTAAAGAGAAGGACCAGGGGAGACATGATAGCGGTCTTCCAATATTTGAGGGGCTGCCACAGGGAGGAAGAGGTCAAGTTATTTTCTAAAGCGCCTGTAGGCCAGACAAGGAATAATGGCTGGAAACTGAACAAGGAGAGATTTAACCTGGAAATGAGGAGAAACTTTCTGACAGTGAGAACAATCAATCAATGGAACAGCTTGCCCTCAGAAGTTGTGGGAGCTTGAGACTTTCAAGAAGAGATTCTACTGCCATTTGTCAGAAATGGTGTAGTGTCTCCCACTTGGGGGTGGTGGTGGTGGATTAAATGACCTACAAGGTCCCTTCCAACTGTGATTATCTGTTAAAGGTTCGGTTAATTCAAGATTGGCAGTGCACTCCACTCGTCATTGGTGTATTCCTAGGTTGCAGGCGCTGAGTACGTACGCTGGGCTCAGATCCAGCTTTCTATATATTGTGCATCAGCGAGGATAAATCTTAATGCATCCCCAGAGTTTCACACACACAAACACACACACACACCCTACTTTAACCACACTCAAGCCCCGATTCCGGCAATCGGGGAAGAGGAGGGAGGGCGCTCCTTAACACGACAGCCCCACCGAGTCCCTTTCCTGTCGGGACCGAGGGTCTCCGCGTTCCGCTGAAACGTTTCATGAAACCCTGCCTTTTGCCTCGCGTGGCCCCTTCGAGCAGAGGCTTTAGGCGGCTTGACTTGGGGGATTAAAAGCGCGCTGCGATTGACTCGCACGAGGCCGCCCGCTCTGCTTTGCTTTGCTTTGCAGCGAGAGAGCCGGGAGAAAAGCGAATGCGGCAGAGCCGTACGGATTGCGGGAGCAAAGCCCGAGCCGGAGGGTCACCTCCAAAGCCGGCCGGTGGCATCCGTGAACCCTTCCCCTCGACCGGCGCGCCTGCGTTCCTAAAAACCCCGGAGCCGAAAGCTGGTGAAATCCGAGAAAAGGGAGGTGGGGGGGAGGGAAGGCTGTTTCCCGATCGGCGGCTCACACGTGCTCCCACGCCGCCGGAGGAGGGAGCCTGCCTGGGCGTTTCCTCGGTCCGCTTGCTCCGCCGTAGACCCCTCCTTCCCTCCAGCCTCCTTGCGCCGCTCTCCGGCTCTCGCTCTCTCCAAGGCTTTCCAGGCGGCCCGGAGCCTCGGCGCGACCTGTGATCGAGGCTGGGTCAAAACTTCGAGCATGGCTGGTTCTGTTTCTCCTGGGGGTCGCGCCTACACCGAGGAACAGGAGTACTTGCAGGCTTACGAAGATGTGCTGGAGAAATACAAAGGTAGAGTAAAGTGTTGGTGTAAAGGAGGAGGATTTATGGGGCTGCAGTGCTGATGATCTGGAGCGGTAACTGCTGGTGGAGGGGGGGGGGGGGGGGGGTTGCAGAGGAACAGGTGGCGGAATCGGGTCCCTGGGACTTGCAGCTTGCTCTAAAAGGGCTGCTAATAGAAAGTAGGCAGAAGTAAGGTAGATAGAAGCCTATGTGAGATCTCTTGTCTTCCAGAAGTGGAGGGGTCATAGAAGATGGCTCCTCTTCTTTCCGTAAAGCATTTGGAAGTTCTTACATTTTTCATCCCTTTCTGGGATGAAAAAGAAAACATTGCTGATAGGTCACTGAGTGATGATGATTCTGTGCTGCATTATATTTGTCTTCCGGTTTTCATTTTTGCATGAGCTGATGTCTGAATAACAAAACAAATTCTGGCAAAGTAGGTCTTCCTTCCCTTCCTCCCTCCCTCTCTCTCTGTCACACA